CATGTCACCTGCTGCCGCGTGACGTCACGAGGGACCGGGAAGTTTCCGCTCGGCCCGTGCGCTGAAATCCGAGGTGAGATTCTCATCGCGGTTGTTGTGGTGGTTGTGGTTGTTGTGGTGGTTGTGGTTGTGGTGGTTGTGGTTGTTGTGGTGGTTGTTGTTGTGGTGGTTGTGGTTGTTGTGGTGGTTGTGGTTGTTGTGGTGGTTGTGGTTGTGGTGGTTGTGGTTGTTGTGGTGGTTGTTGTTGTGGTGGTTGTGGTTGTTGTGGTGGTTGTGGTTGTGGTTGTTGTGGTGGTTGTTGTTGTGGTGGTTGTGGTTGTTGTGGTGGTTGTTGTTGTGGTGATTGTGGTTGTTGTGGTGATTGTGGTGATTGTGGTGGTTGTGGTTGTGGTTGTTGTGGTGATTGTGGTTGTTGTGGTGGTTGTGGTGGTTGTTGTTGTGGTGGTTGTTGTGGTGATTGTGGTTGTTGTGGTTGTGGTGATTGTGGTTGTTGTGGTGATTGTGGTGGTTGTGGTGGTTGTTGTTGTGGTGGTTGTTGTTGTGGTGATTGTGGTTGTTGTGGTGGTTGTTGTTGTGGTGGTTGTGGTGGTTGTGGTGGTTGTGGTGGTTGTTGTTGTGGTGGTTGTGGTGGTGGTTGTGGTGGTGGTTGTTGTGGTGGTTGTTGTGGTGATTGTGGTTGTTGTGGTGGTTGTTGTGGTGATTGTGGTTGTTGTGGTGGTTGTTGTGGTGATTGTGGTTGTTGTGGTGGTTGTTGTGGTGATTGTGGTTGTTGTGGTGATTGTGGTTGTTGTGCTGGTTGTTGTTGTGGTGGTTGTGGTGGCTGTTGTGGTGGTTGTTGTGGTTATTGTGGTGGTGGTTGTGGTTGTTGTGGTGGTTGTTGTGGTGATTGTGGTTGTTGTGGTGGTTGTTGTGGTGGTTGTTGTGGTGGTGGTTGTTGTGGTGGTTGTTGTGGTGATTGTGGTTGTTGTGGTGGTTGTTGTGGTGATTGTGGTTGTTGTGGTGATTGTGGTTGTGGTGGTTGTGGTGGTTGTTGTTGTGGTGGTTGTGGTTGTTGTGGTGGTTGTTGTTGTGGTGATTGTGGTTGTTGTGGTGATTGTGGTGATTGTGGTGGTTGTGGTTGTGGTTGTTGTGGTGATTGTGGTTGTTGTAGTGGTTGTGGTGGTTGTGGTGGTTGTTGTTGTGGTGGTTGTTGTGGTGATTGTGGTTGTTGTGGTTGTGGTGATTGTGGTTGTTGTGGTGATTGTGGTGGTTGTGGTGGTTGTTGTTGTGGTGGTTGTTGTTGTGGTGATTGTGGTTGTTGTGGTGGTTGTTGTTGTGGTGGTTGTGGTGGTTGTGGTGGTTGTGGTGGTTGTTGTTGTGGTGGTTGTGGTGGTGGTTGTTGTGGTGGTTGTTGTGGTGGTTGTGGTGGTTGTTGTGGTGGTGGTTGTGGTGGTGGTTGTGGTGGTTGTTGTGGTGGTTGTTGTGGTGGTTGTGGTGGTTGTTGTGGTGGTGGTTGTGGTGGTGGTTGTGGTGGTTGTTGTGGTGGTTGTTGTGGTGGTGGTTGTGGTGGTTGTGGTGGTAGTTGTGGTGGTGGTTGTTGTGGTGGTTGTTGTGGTGGTTGTGGTGGTTGTTGTGGTGATTGTTGTGGTGGTTGTTGTGGTTGTTGTGGTGGTTGTTGTGGTGATTGTGGTTGTGGTGGTGGTTGTTGTGGTGATTGTGGTTGTTGTGGTGATTGTGGTTGTTGTGGTGGTTGTTGTGGTGGTGGTTGTGGTTGTTGTGGTGATTGTGGTTGTTGTGGTGGTTGTTGTGGTGGTTGTTGTTGTGGTGGTTGTGGTTGTTGTTGTTTACCGAGGTAGAGCCTCGCTCTCTCTCTCGTAGGGATGTTATTTGAGTAGCAGCGAGCATGGAAGCGATGTCCACGTTGGAACTTTACAACGCGGGCCTAGTGCCTCCTGCCCTCGCCTGGTCGCGTTCGCTTCAATTCTCTCGCTTAGATTTCGATTTGAAGCTTTCGTGACTGCAGGGATTCATCTTCTTGGTTTTTTCGGTAAAGTCACGTCTGAATGAAACACCCCAGGGTCTTCCCGACAGACCTGGTCTTCACCTGAGGACGGCTGCTTGCGTTGTGGCCGAAACGTCGTGAGAATTGTATTTTATTTTGTTTTATTTTTATTATTTCCCTTCTACGCGACTTTACCGAAAGAACCAAGAAGATTATCTCGCTTAGTTTTGCAATCTGTGGAAGAACGTAATCAGCCAGGAGACGCGTTAGTTGTGTGTTGACCCACTCTCTGTGTTGCATTGCATTACTTTTATAATTTTATTAAGTTTGTTTGATTAAGTGCAGTCACCAAACCTCCAAATCTCTCATTGACACAAAGCCGTAATTATAATATGTTATAATAATTATAATATGTTATACTAATTATAATCAAATATGCTCCAAATGTCCCCCCCCCCCCCCAATATGTTGCTATAAAAATATTTGTAAATAATAATTGCGATGCTCTGTTAATAAAAACAACAATTTGCTAAGCCACAAGATCTGGACTTGTCTTCATGTAACAATACATAGATTCCTGTTTATAGGATTGCGTTGTACTTCATGAATCCCTAATCTCTGCCATTACATACTATGAAACAAGAAAGGTAAAAAAGAAAAAACAGAGCAATGTATTACAATACACTATTAGACATTATTGTATCAAATAAAACAAAGTCCATCCCATGTGCTAGTGAACTTAAAAACATATTTTAGGGAGGAAATGGCAGGAAAATAGTTTTCAAATTTAGATATTTTTCTGGGGGGGGGGACCCCAGACCCGTGGAAGATTTGGTCCCCCCCAATGTTGACTCCATGGCTACGGCCTTGCATTGACGTGCTAGTTTCTCTACCCCCCCCTCTCTCTATTTAAGGCCTCAACACAGAGGCGTTGTTTCTCTGTGTGCCTATGTGTGTCTCTCTCTGTGTGTCTCTGTGTCATCTCTCTCTGTGTGTCTATGTGTGTCTCTCTCTCTCTGTGTGTCTCTCTGTCATTTCTCTCTGTGTGTCTATGTGTGTGTCTCTCTCTCTGTCATCTCTCTGTGTGTCTGTGTGTGTCTCTCTCTGTGTGTCTCTGTGTCATCTCTCTCTGTGTGTCTATGTGTGTGTGTCTCTCTCTGTGTCTTTCTGTCATCTCTCTCTGTGTGTCTATATGTCTCTCTCTCTCTGTGTCTATATGTGTCTTTCTCTGTGTGTCTTTGTGTCATCTCTCTCTGCTTATGTGTCTGTCTATGTGTCTCCGTGTCTCTCTCTCAAATTGAGCAATCTTTGGAAGAACGTTATCAACCAGGTAGGGTGTTGACTGTTATGTTAGATGACTCTAAGTTTAATAGGTTTGTTTCCTCTTTCATTTGTACCTGATGATGATTGCTTGTGTTGCAGTTGAAACGTCGTATGCTATTATATAATGTATGTATTTATTCTACGTGACTTTACCGAAAGAACCAAAGAGTATCTTGCTTAAGTTTTAATTTCCCTTCACCTGGCTCGCTACTTTGTAACTTTGTTTGTTTTAAATATTCAGTTTTTTCCATTTTTTACCAGGCCACACTCGCTTGAGCTGCTGTACCGCTCTTGTTTTCAAAAGCGACCTGCCCACAACAACAATAACAACAAGGTGAGGCTCGTCAACAGCGTGGTGGTGTTCGCTCTAGACACGTGGCGGTGTTCACTCTAGACACGTGGCGGTGTTCGCTCTAGACGCGTGGTGGTGTTCACTCTAGACGCGTGGCGGTGTTCACTCTAGACACGTGGTGGTGTTCACTCTAGACACGTGGCGGTGTTCGCTCTAGACGCGTGGTGGTGTTCACTCTAGACACGTGGCGGTGTTCACTCTAGACGCGTGGCGGTGTTCACTCTAGACACGTGGTGGTGTTCACTCTAGACACGTGGCGGTGTTCGCTCTAGACGCGTGGTGGTGTTCACTCTAGACGCGTGGCGGTGTTCACTCTAGACACGTGGCGGTGTTCGCTCTAGACGCGTGGTGGTGTTCACTCTAGACACGTGGCGGTGTTCACTCTAGACGCGTGGCGGTGTTCACTCTAGACACGTGGTGGTGTTCACTCTAGACACGTGGTGGTGTTCACTCTAGACACGTGGCGGTGTTCACTCTAGACACGTGGCGGTGTTCACTCTAGATGCGTGGCGGTGTTCACTCTAGACGCGTGGCGGTGTTCACTCTAGACGCGTGGCGGTGTTCACTCTAGACGCGTGGCGGTATTCACTCTAGACACGTGGAGGTGTTCACTCTAGATGCGTGGCTGTGTTCACTCTAGACACGTGGAGGTGTTCACTCTAGACACGTGGAGGTGTTCACTCTGGACGCGTGGCGGTGTTCACTCTAGACGCGTGGCGGTGTTCACTCTAGACACGTGGAGGTGTTCACTCTGGACGCGTGGCGGTGTTCACTCTAGACGCGTGGCGGTGTTCACTCTAGACACGTGGTGGTGTTCACTCTAGACACGTGGTGGTGTTCACTCTAGACGCGTGGCGGTGTTCACTCTGGACGCGTGGCGGTGTTCACTCTGGACGCGTGGCGGTGTTCACTCTAGACACGTGGTGGTGTTCACTCTAGACACGTGGAGGTGTTCACTCTGGACGCGTGGCGGTATTCACTCTAGACACGTGGCGGTGTTCACTCTAGACACGTGGCGGTGTTCACTCTAGACGCGTGGCGGTGTTCACTCTCTACATGTGGAGGGGAAACCCGGGGATCGGGAAGGAAATCCACGCGACCACGGGGAGAGAGAGAGAGAGACACGTAAACTACAAATATACAGCAGGCGTCAGGGTCGGGATCGAACCCACGACTTCCTGTATGCCAGGAGAGGTAGTTAACATCTCACCACGGAGAGAGAGAGAGACACGCAGCCTCGGCTGTGTTGGTTGATCCTCAATGAATTACTTGGTGGAGTGAGGAAGCATTAATACTGAGCAGGTGAAGGTGGCCAGGCGTGGGTCTGGACACACCACCACCTGTGAACCGTGCCAGTGTGTGACAGTGGTGGAGCCAGTGGGGGTGGGGTGGCACGTGCCCCCCCAACGATCCGATAGAAATCCGTAATTTCGATAGGATCATTGGGGTTTATTAGTAACTAGCTTCACTACCCGGCTTCGCCCGGGACTTGGATTCTTGTCTTGGATTCATTTAATATTCCCTCATAATTCACTGAAAAACCCTGAAAAAATTGATGCTTGCAAGAAGGAAGCCTAAACACTTCAATTTACCTAAATCGGATGTTTTCACTCAAGGAAATTCAACCTGAACCCACTGCTACGTCAGGTCGATTTTTGCCACTCGGGAAGGAAATGACGTGGCGTTCGCTTAGAAATTCCAGACAGCATAAGCTGTGAAATTTTCATGACGCCAGAGCTCAGCGTTGGAGAGTTTTTGCTGCTTCACACAAACAAACAGGTGTAAGTTCTGTTTTATATTTAAGATGGCAGTTGTACCCGTTCTTCACACGGATTTGTATTGAAACTCCGAGAAGCCAAAAAGTCTATTTTTATTTCCTGAAGGCATCAACACGTTCAGCGAGCGCGATGACGATCACACGCGTCGAATGAAAAGCAAGGGACAAGTCCTTTCTTACTAACAACTCCTTACTTACTAACAACTCCTTACTTACTAACAACTCCTGTAATTTTTTATTGCTGGAGGGGTTTCCCCCCCTACACTGAAAATCCTGGCTCCACCTCTGAGTGTGTGACAGTGTCAAGTTTGTATTTGCAGTAAAGTCTATTAACTCTTTTGAGCACAGAGGTTATATCAAAACAGTAGTTTATTTTAGTTTTCCTCTGGAACTCTTTGTAAGAATGGAGTCAGGAAGTGATCACAGCACACACGTGCAGCAGCTGAAGTCGGAACTGCTCATCCCAGCAATTAAGGACATCTGTGCCTGGCTTCACACCTCTAAGTTGCAATTGAACATTAATTTTTGCATTTGTGCATGACACAAATAGTATTATTTTCAACACCCTTTGCTATGTCAGCTGAATTTAGCTTTCATAAACATTCATTTTGAAGCCAAACAGCTGAAATTGTGTGCTCTGAGTTTTGGGTTAACGTTCATTTTGAAGATACGAGGGCTTCCAGGCATGTTTATGACCATTTGCCCTCTCATTGTGTGCCATAACAGCCCGTGTGATGAATTTGGGACACTTTTTCACTATATCATGAATATATGAATAAGTATAGACGTGTAAGTCACGTGTGACTGTATATGCATTCCTCTTTCCTCGATACTGATGTGTAGATGGTGTGGATATTCTTTGTTTCTGTCTGCAGCTGTCGCTGCCTCTGCAGAAGTGGTCTCATGGAGCAAAGGCACTCGGCGCGGCTCGGTGCAAAAAGGCAACAATGTGACCGGTGTGCATACAGCACGGATTGTCCTGAACATTTGACACGGCACCAGAGAACTCACACAGGAGAGAAACCCTTCAAGTGCAGTGTGTGTGGGAAGGCGTTTGCACATGCATCTGCTCTTATAAAACACCAGAGAACCCACACGGGAGAGAAACCCTTCAAGTGCAGTGTGTGTGGGAAGGCGTTTGCACAGTCATCTGCTCTTATAACACACCAGAGAACACACACGGGAGAGAAACCCTTCAAGTGCAGTGTGTGTGGGAGGGCGTTTGCACATTCATCTGCTCTTGTAAAACACCAGAGAACCCACACGGGAGAGAAACCCTTCAAGTGCAGTGTGTGTGGGAGGGCGTTTGCACATTCATCTACTCTTGTAGAACACCAGAGAGCACACACGGGAGAGAAACCCTTCAAGTGCAGTGTGTGTGAGAAGGCGTTTTCACGTTCATCTGATCTTAAAATACACCAGAGAAGACACACGGGAGAGAAACCCTTCAAGTGCAGTGTGTGTGGGAAGGCGTTTGCACAGTCATCTGATCTTAAAATACACCAGAGAAGACACACGGGAGAGAAACCCTTCAAGTGCAGTGTGTGTGGGAAGGCGTTTGCACAGTCATCTGATCTTAAAATACACCAGAGAAGACACACGGGAGAGAAACCCTTCAAGTGCAGTGTGAGTGGGAAGGCGTTTGCACAGTCATCTACTCTTGTAGCACACCAGAGAGCACACACGGGAGAGAAACCCTTCAAGTGCAGTGTGTGTGAGAAGGCGTTTACACTTTCACCAAATCTTCAAAGACACCAGAGATCACGCAAGCATCAGAAGATCCACAAGGAGTGGAGTCTGAAATCAGCTTGTGAAAGTCAAGGTGCCTCAATGAGCCCATCCCTCATCAAACAAGAACCGGAAGAAAATCCCAGCTTGGACACTTTTAAAGAAATCAAGGTGAAATATGAAGAGGTGAAGGTGAAATGTGAAGAGGTGAAGGTGAAATCTGAAGAAGTGACGGTAAAATGTGAAGATGGAGATTCAACTCCCAAATGTGACCTTCACATCGATGGAGGCAACGTGAAGCAGGAGGAGAATTCTGACTGTGAGGCAGAGCGAGGCAACTCCCAGCAGTTTGTGGAAGTGGAGGTGTGGGTGGACTTCCTCCGAGACAATACAAAGTCAAATGGAGACCCGGGAGATGCGTAAGCCTTAGACCAGTGGTTCTTAACCTGGGTTCGATCGAACCCCAGGGGTTCGGTGAGTCAGTCTCAGGGGTTCGGCGGAGGTTAAGACACACACCTGACTCGTATGATTGTGCACCAGTAAAACATGTACCTATGTTTTGAATTTGAAAAAATAATTTTATTTTTCCAATTAAGAAGGGTTCTGTGAATGCGCATATGAAACTGGTGGGGTTCAGTACCTCCAACAAGGTTAAGAACCACTGCCTTAGACGATGCCGCTCCAATAGATGCACCTTTGTCACAGGCCTCTAATGACAAGAATGTGAAGTTGAACACTCAGTTCCTAGGTTCAACCTGCAGGGTAAGAGCGGCCAGTCTTTGTGGACCTGTGTGTTGGGTAGATCTCTAACCAGGAGCGAGAGCCAATAAGCTCCCAAGCATTCACTATGTTATCATAATTGCATTTATATTGTGCTTGCTTAATTGCCTCGGCAATTCGTAGTTTTGTATCGTTTCTCGTCTCAAACACTCGAAGAGCATCCCCAAGTAGCAGCTGCCCCTGTGTGGCACAAGGTGGTGGCCCTGCACCGGCCTGCATGTGAACAAGAGCCTGTCAGTAGGGGGCGATGGTTGATGTGGCATCTTAGTTGTGGAGTTTGTAGGTAATGTTTAGAATTTGCTCAATTTTGACCCAGACGACAGCATCCAATGGCCTACTCGTTTTGAATGACACAATAGTATGTTGTACATACACTATTAAGCAGACAGTGTTTTTTGTTTATCTTGTTAATACGATGTAACCTGATGCAGCATATTTCAATGCAGTAATTTAACTTCGTAAAAATTATTGTCAATAATTTAGAATGAATACTTGTCCGATTGTGTGCGTACATGTAACATTTTGTCTACAAGGGTCAAACATTGATTAAGTGATGTTAGGACAAAGTGTGTGTTTTTGGAGTAACCTGTACAGATCACTCAGGTGAGACTCATTGTTCTTGTGATACAGGTCAAAGAGTACTTTTGTGGTTTCAGGAAGCATCTCCCTCTGGAGCAACTCATTGTCTTTGAAATAGGAGCACACTCGGATCATTCATCAGTTACAAGGCAAACCACTTAAAAGTTACACATAGAGGAGGTACATTCTCTACAACACGAATTATAATTTTGCATTACGTGTTGACGTAGATTTTGTCTAACTCGGACTAGAAATGCTCCTTGCTGATTAACGTCTGGATGTCCGTAACTATCGGTTGAAACAAGCCCGGCTGCTGTTGAGACGCTGTGCACCAATAAGGGTCCACAGGTGGCTTGCACTGAATAATTGACGCACTCCCAGAAGTCCGTGCTAGTTATAGTTTGTGTAAAACATTCATTTGTTTCGTGGAGAGATTGATAAATGAAAGATGTTGTGTCTGCTGATCTGCTTCATAGCAAGGAGGTAATTCTAAGAGCCTATTTGAAATGCATTTTTGGTATAGATTTGTATTTGGTTACAAGGCAGAGCACATCTAGTAGATACATTCTCCACAACAACACTCATTAGAATTTTGCATGACGTCTTATATGTTGGCGAACTCGGACAAGAAATGGTCCTTGCCGATTAACGTCTGGATGTTGACAACCATGGGGTTGAAGCAAGCCTGATTGCCTGCGGTGCCCCTCACAACCATTCACGGCTTTCGGCCAGGAAAGTCACGAAGAAAATTGCACATGAACGACGCATTCACGCCAACTCCCGATGCTCCATTTTGGAGTTTTAAAATGAAACAACTTTGAATTGTATTATGTTTTAATTAGATAATTGTATTATATCATTTTACATCTGGAAGACTTAATTGAAAACAACATTTCGCGTGAATTATTTTCGTCGTTAAGTAGATGGCCTTACCGGGGTTCGGTTTGATGCGGACTTTCTCCTGGTTGGGATCGCGGGGTGGAGATAAGGCGACATAGAGCTGGCCGTGCCAGAAGACCGCCGTCTGCAGATCGATTCCAACGCGATCGAACGTCTGTCCCTGCTCCTCCGTCGTTCATGCAGGGGGCGCGTAGGTTTGCAGCGCCTCCTGCATGAAAACTAAGTAAAGTGCAGCGTTCATCACAGACAGATGAAGTTGTGTGCTTATATAAGAGTACTCGCGGGAAGTACCCGGTGTGAAATTTCCCACCTTTTATCGTAATATATAGGATACTAAGGCTAAGCACACCCGAGGATTGCACTTTTGTTGAAAAATGAAGTTGCAAATATTTGTCCATTATTGGCCAAAAACGGTATGCCGATATTCTATATTGGGACGTGCACATTTCATCATAAAATGTTCCACTTTTAATCTAATACATAGCATACTAAGGGTAAATACAATTGATGAATTAACTTTTTGTTGAAAAAAAAAGCTATGAAAATTTGGCTTATTTTGGTTAAAACCGGCATAAGTAAGTATCCCTGATTTTATTTTTGGGGCGTGAAAATTTAATCGTGAAATTTTCCACTTTTAAAGTAATATAGAGCATACTAATGCTTAACAAAATGGAGGAATTCACTTTTTCTTGAAAAATCTAGCTATGAAAATTGAGCAAATTTTGACCAAGAACGGCATTGGTAAAGTATGCCGATTTGATCTTTTTACTTCAAATTTCATTGTGAAATTTCCCACTTTTAATGTAATATAGAGGCTACTCAGTCTAAACACAACCGAGGAATGCACTTTTTGTTTCAAAATACAGTTGTAAAAATTGGTTCAATTTTTGCCAAAAACGGCAGAGGTTAGCATGCCGATTTTCTGTTGGGGTCGTGAACATTTCATCGTGAAATGTTCCACTTTTAATCTAATACATAGCATACTAAGGCTAAATACAATGGAGCCAATTAACTTTCGTCCGAAAATAAATCTGTGAAAGTTGGGCTTATTGAGCCTAAAAACGGCACAGTATGCCGATTAACTTTTCTATATTCGAAAAGTTAATTCATGAAATTCCCCACTTTTTAACGTAATATATGGGCTACTCAGGCTAAACACAACCAAGGAATGCACTTTTCGTTGCAAAAAAAGCTAAAAAAAATTGGATCGATTTTGCCAAAAACGGCCTAGGTTAGTATGGCGATTTTCCTTTTATGGACGTGAAAATGTCATCGTGAAATGTCCCACTTTTAAAGTAATATAGAGCATACTAATGCTTAACAAAATGGAGGAGTTAACTTTTTCTTGGAAAATCTAGCTATGAAAATGTAGCAAATTTTGGCCAAGAACGCCATTGGTAAAGTATGCCGATTTGATCTTTTTACTTCAAATTTCATGGTCAAATTTCCCACTTTTAATGTAATTTATAGGCTAATCATGCTCAACACAACCGAGGAATGCACTTTTTATTTAAAAATACAGCTGTAAAAATTCGTTCAATTTTAGCCAAAAACGGCAGAGGTTTAGTATGTCGATTTTCTGTTTGGGACATGAACATTTCATCGTGAAATTTTCCAATTTTAATCAAATACATAGCATACTAAGGCTAAATACAATGGAGCAATGAACCTTTGTCGACAAATAAGGCTGTGAAAGTGTGGCCAATTTTGGCCGATTTAATTTTTTTACTTTAAAATTTCATGGTGAAATTTACCACTTTTTTTTACGTAATATATAGGATACTAAGGCTAAGCACACCCGAGGATTGCACTTTTGTTGAAAAATGAAGCTGTAAAAATTTGGCCATTATTGACCAAAAACGGCATTTTAATCTAATACATGGCATACTAAGGATAAATACAATAGAGGAATTAACTTTCGTCCAAAAATAAAGCTGTCAAAAGTTTGGCTTATTGAGCCTAAAAACGGCACAGTATGCCGATGAACTTTTTTATATTCGAAAATTTCATGCATCAAATTCCCCACTTTTTAACGTAATATATGGGCTACTCAGGCTATAAACACAACCAAGGAATGCACTTTTCGTTGAAAAATAAAGCCATGAAAATTGGGCCAATTTTGCCAAAAAACGGCCGAGGTTCGTATGGCGATTTTCTTTTCATGAAAATGTCATCGTGACATGTCGCCAGCGGTGTGCTGGAGAGCCAAGCCACGACGTCTACAAAGTGCTGCTCATAGCGAGTAGCAGCACCGGTGCAGGTCGTCACGGCACACACAGAGGGGGTGGTGGGTGGCCAGCACCACGCCCGGCCGCCTTTGTCTCCCCAGTGCTGGCGATGTTGACACACCGCACCGGGGACTCGTTTGAGGCTGAGTCGACTTAGGGGAGGCCCAGGACCGGCTCAGAAAGTCGTCTCTGGCGGCGTTGGCCACGAGCGGGAATGGAACTCGGCTGGTCGGTGCGGAGCGCAGCGCTCACCACGTCACTGCCGCTCCCCTTCTGTCAACAAACTTGAACTCTGACCCAGCCCTCTGACGTCACAGCGCCGCGTGATCTCATCGGCGTCAAACGCAATGGGGAAGTGTGCCTCGCTAGTGACGTCATGTCACCTACCCCGACCACCGCGCTCTTGCGCGTGACGTCACCTACGCTAGGCCGCTGCCGATGTCTGTCCCAGTGCCAATCCTTATTTGGGCAAAGCCACGCCCGGTGACTGGCGGCTCATTAACATAATTTATTCGTGAAAGGCGTC